TTTATACCCGACTCATTTTTATACATACACCTTTTCACTTCAGGAGAGAGAGAGTTTGATTTTAAAGGCCGATTCGCTACAAATACAAGCTCATAAGGTACGTCATAAAAAGTTTGGGATGAATCTCGCTTCGCTCAACATTTTGCCCTCAATAATTCGAAATGTGGTTTTGTGGTAAGTATCGCCAATTGCAGTACATGCCCACAAGTATAAGAAACGCATTGTCTGCACCGAATAGAACCAGCGGCTGTTTGACTCACTACACAGTCTCCAGACTCGTTGGCATTGAGCGCCCGGCATTTTACAGGGTGTGATATTTCCCTATTCTCGAGTAACACTCTAATATTAACTAGTGTAAATTCGCATAAAGGAAACTTCGCCACGCAGGAGCTTTCCGAGCAGTGATTTCTCGGATCTCATTGTTGTGGATTACGCACTGTTTCTCATCGTCTCTCAAGTCATGACTAGTCTAATAGCAAGACCCGCTTCTAATGTGTCTCAATTCTTTTGTCGCTTACAGCTATGTCGTGAAATGCTCAGTTCGGTGAAGCCACCGAAAAAATAATTACAGCTTTTGACAGCCTGCCGGCATGCAGGTGGTGGTTCGTTGCTCCAAAACGGTAATTTGCGGCTGGCATGGCGCTATCTTAGGTAAAACAACTTACAGCACGAGCTTAATGAAAGGACAAGGAAAGTTCTGTCGGTTTGTGTGAGGCCCTTGATCGCATCAAATGGTTGATGGAAAGGACTCTTGACGCAGACGGTTCCACTCATCCAGTATAGTACATACTATAGTATGGTATAAGCACAGTCGCACCGCAATGCTCTCGTAGAGACGACTGTGTAGCTCTTAGGTCATGCATGCATCACATGATTCGGCCATTTAACTGAGTTTGTAATTTTTCTGTGAGCAGCGGGTGCAATAATCGTTCGGTGTACTCTGTGATTATAATTCCGAGATCGAATAAGACAGCGGACGACACAAACGAATGTCATGGCTAGCCACAGACGCACATAATAGCGACGCCTTTAAAATTGCGATCCCGTACATAATAATATAATTTGGCAGAGAGAAGAGACGGAGCGCATTGTGTTCGCACAATGGGGAACACTATTACCGGCAGTGAAAGGAGCTGTGAGATCCCGCCATTTTGCAGAGATATATACTTTTTGTTACTGTACAAGCGTTCTCGGAAAGTCTGTCCTATTTAGTCGATCCTGACGGCGTGAGTAGGACAGCTGCTATATAAATCTACACGTGGCTACTGTGTAGTACATATACGTGTGGAACCAGACATGCGCAAATTTATACACTATACACGCGACTACGAGAACTTGCGCGTGGACTTAGACAAAGCCTCTCTGTTAATATATCATTGGACAGGACAATTTTCTCAATTAGCACGGATTCTGAAAGGACTGAATACAGTGACTCGTGAATATCGAGTCTGAATAGAAATTCGCTATTCTCTGAGGTGACGATCTATATGAAAATTCCCCAATATGTCTTTAGGGTTGGAGCGCCCCAAATGGTATTGGATGATGGCTAGTGGGCGTATAGTTAATCAACACATGCATTGCGTGAATCCTGCAGGTTCCATCATTTGCGGTCGACTGTTTCGAGCAGCGATACCGCGCGGCCTTCGTGGTGAGTATGTTGAGTATATCGTGGACATCTTCGGTAATTCACTCGATAAAAATGCCATTCTCCCTTCCCAGTAACCTCCCAGTGTATGCCAAACCTTTCAAAGTGACCCAAAATAATTTAAGCACAAACATCACACCTATGAGTGCAATTATTTATATTTTTTACCCCTTGGACGCGGAGGAAGTATATCAGATTACTTGGCATTTTCATGCTTTCATTCGATGTGCGGCACGCTTTCCAAATGGGACATTTGCGTCTTTATTGTTCATGCACGGTATGTATTTATAAACATGTATACGATTAATTGTATAAAAAAGGAGACTAAGCATGACGCGAATTTGGATACTGGATGAGTACATAACATGTACGCGCTGACAGAGAAGTAGCGCTCGTCACTGTACATCGGTGATGACAAACAAAAAACCGTACGCATATTAATCAATGGGATTCGCATTGGCGGCCGTTTGTAATGAAGCTACTGGTTTTGTCAGGATGTTAATACATGATATTGCGTGCAACTACAGTAGCTATACACATGGATTCTTTTGTCTGCCAAAACGTCCAGGTGCATTTGACTCGGCAAAAACTCGATACTTGTAAGGAAATGTTTCATATAGCACACATCAAAGCTTGCACAGCATGGAAAGGTTTGACCTACTGACTGTTTTCTAGTTCAGATAGGCACCCGTCTTCAACGCATGTAAGCTTTGAGGGTCCACTTCCTCCCGTTCTTTCCGAGTTATTGCCGTGAAAACGCTCTCTGCCGTCAATTCGT